TAGAGCCATCCCTGAATCTCTGGAACAAAACCTACATGATCATGGTGGATGATTTTTCTGATGTGTTCTTGGGTTCTGTTTGCCAGTATTCTATTGAGTATTTTTGCATCAGTGTTCACAATGGAGATTAGTCTGTAATTATTTTTCTTAGTTACACCCTTGTGGTGTTTTGTTACCAGGGTAACTGTAGCTTGGTAAAATGATTTTGGCAATGTCCCATCTGTTTCTATTGTATGGAGTAATTTGAGGAGAATTGGTATTAGCTTTTTTTTTTTTTTTTGAATTTCTGGTAGAATTCTGCACTGAAACCATCTGGTCCTGAGCTTTTTGTTGTTGTTGTTGTTGTTAAGATTTTGATGACTGCTTCTACTTCCTGCTTCTTTTCAAACTGTTTATCTGTTCTTGATTTAATTTTGGTTGTGATGCCTAGCCAGAAAAGTGTCCATTTCCTTTAAATATTCCAGCTTTGTAGAGTACAGGTTTTTGAAGTATGACCTGATGATTGTCTGAATTTCCTCAATGTCTATTGTTAAGTCCCCCCTTTTCATTTCTGATTTTTGTTAATTTGCATATTCTCTCTGCTTTTTGGTAAGTTTCGACAAAGGTTTGTTTATCTTGTTGATTTTCTCAAAGAACCAACCCTTTATCTCATTGATTCTTTGCATTTTTTATTGTTTCTATTTTATTGATTTCAGCCCTCGGTTTTATTATTTTCTTGTGTTCACTCCTCTTGAATGAGTTTGCTTCGTTTTGTTCTAGAGCTTTTGGGTGTGCTGTTAAGTCACTAGTTCGAGAATTCTCCAGTTTCTCTATGTAGGGACTTAGTGATATAAACTTTCCTCTCAGGACTCCTTTTAAAGTGTTCCATAAGTTTGGGTATGTTGTGCCTTCATTTTCATTGAATTCCAGGAAGCCTTTATTTTCTTTCTTATTTCTTCCTTGATCCAGGGGTGATTCAATTGAGCATTGTTCATTTCCCATTAAGTTTGTAGACTTTCTGCAATTTGTGTTGTTGTGGAATTGTAACTTTAAATCATGGAGATCTGATAAGATACTGAGGATTATTCCAATTTTTTGTATCTGTTGAGGTTTGCTTTGTTGCTTTGTATGTGGTCAATTTTAGAGGATGTTCTATGATGTGCTGAGAAGAAGGTATATGCTTTTGTGTTTGGGTGGAATGTTCTATAGATGTTTGTTAAACCCATTTGATTGGAAAATCTTTTCCCAACCTTTGACTCTGAGATTATGTCTGTCTTGAAGTTGAGGTATGTTTCTGATATGCAGCAGTAGGCTGGATTCTGTCTCCGTGTCCATTCTGTTAGCCTGTACCTTTTTATAGGCAAAATGAGACTGTTGATATTAAGAGATATTAATTACCAGTGATTATTAATTCCTGTTATTTTTAGTTTTGTTGGTGGTGTTATTGTGTGTGTATTTCCCTTTTGGGGGTTTTGCTAGTGTGGGATTATCTATTGCCTGTATTTTTGTGGGTGCAGTTAAATTCCTTGGGTTGGAGTTTTCCTTCTAGTACTATTTGTAGGACTGGATTTGTGGATATGTACTATTTAAATCTGGTTTTGTCATGGAATATCTGCTTTTCTCTATCTATAGTGATTTAAAGCTTTGCTGGGTTTGGCAGTCTGGGCTGGCATCCTTGGTCTCCTAGTGTCTATAGAATGTCTATCCAGGCTTTCAGAGTTTCCATTGAGAATTCAGGTGTAATTCTGATAGGTTTGCCTTTATATGTTACTTGGCCTTTTTCCTTTGCAGCTCTTAAAATTCTTTCTTTATTCTGTATGTTTAGTGTTTTGATTATCAATTTGCAAGGGAACTTTTTCTTTGATCCAGTGTATTTGGTATTCTCTAAGTTCATTGTATTTTCATAGGTATGACGTCCTTGTTTAGGTTGGGAAGGTTTTCTTCTTTGATTTTATTGAATATGTTTTCTGTGCCTTTAAGCCGAACTTCTTCACCTTCTTCTATCCCCATCATTCTTGGGTTCAGTCTTTTCATGGTGTCCAGCTTTCCTGGATATTTTGTGTTAAGAATTTGTTGGATTTAACATTTCCTATCATCAATGAATCCATTGCCTCTATTGTATCTTCAACACCTGAGATTTTCTCTTCCATATCTTGTATTTTGTAGATTATGCTTGCATCTCTAGTTCCTGATAGTTTACCCAGATTTTCCATTTCTAAAATTCATTCAGTTTGTGTTTTCTGTTGCCTCTATTTCAGTTTTCAAGTCTTAAACTGTTTAAAATGCTTCCTTCACCTGTTTGTTTGTTCTTGGATTTCCATCCTTTCGTTAAGGAATATGTTGGCTTCTTTTATTTATTTTTTGTTTGTCTTTTCCTCCATTTCTTTAAGGGAGTTTTTCATTTCCTCTTTAAGATTCTCTATTATCTTAATAAAATTATTTTTAATGTCTTTGTCTGCTTCATCTGTCTTGAGATGTTCAGGTCTTGCTGGTGTAGAACTTCTAGTTTCTGGTGGTGCCACACTGCTCTTTATGTTGTCGAATGTATTCTTACACTGTTGTCTACCTATCTCTTCCTCCAGTGGGTGCAAGTGGGGCCTGTGCTTCAGGGGGTCTCTCTTCATCTAATTGGTGTATGTGGGTCCTGTGTCTTAGGTGGTTAATCTTCCTATTATAGGTGCAGTCCGTCTGTGCCTCTCCTGGATGCTGATACAGCCCTGGGGTTCTTCTGGTATAGGCAGGGTCAAGGCTGTGTGGGATGGTCTAGGGTGTGGAGAGGCTGCTTCCAGGCCTCTGGGGCTTCAGTGGGTATGTATGGGGTGCAGCAAGTGCCACAGTTGCTTAGGACCAACAGGGCAGTGTCCGACACCTGGGGTTCCAGACACTCACCTCTCAGGCTCCAGTGGTTGCAGATACAGTGGGAGATCAGACAACTGGTTTTTGGTGGTGTAACTGCCATGCTCTTGTAGGCATTTCTTCACCCATAAGTGACCCAAATTAAACCTATTAGTTCACCAAGCTACAATTGATGGGATTGTTTCTTGGGTCTGTAATTCTCAGTACTATCTGAGGTGGATAGTATTTGTCTCCAAGGAAAAGTCAACAGAACACAAGTCTATCACCTTCATTGCTTTCCCAATTCCTCATACACATGCTAGATGCTGTGAGTTGGAGATGCTTTTAAACACAAAGGTTCATGTACTGGAAGCTTATCAGGGTTAACTGTACAGTGTGATTATTAAGAGGTACCACAGGAGCATAACTGTAGTGGCCAATCTTGTTAGCTTGACTGATTTAGAATTACCTGGGGGACACAGAAGTTGGTGTGTCTGGAGAATTCTGGGCCACACAGTATAGTTTATCTTTTTTTTTCTTTTGAGACCAAGTCTTACTATGTAGCCATGGCTAGTCTCAATCCTACAAGAGGTCTGCTTGCCTTCACACTACTGGGATTAAGGTAAAAGCATATGCCAACACAGCCAGCAGATCTATCTTATCACTTCCTGTGTGCATGTTTGCATGCTCCCATGGAGGCCAGAGGACTATGTTCTGTCTGCCTTCCCATCTTATGAGACAGTCTCTCAGTGTACATGGACCTGCCAGATTTAGTTAGACTGGCTGGATAGCAAACTCCAGGGATCGTTTTGTGTCTGTCTCCTGACCAAGGATACACGTGTTTGCAACCATAGATTTTATTATTTGGGTGCTGGCCTCAAGCTTACACTCTCATGCTTATGAGGCACTTTAAAGTCTGAGCCATTTCTTCAAAATGGCCCCTCATTTATTTTATTTTCACTAGGTCACTGCTGCACATAATATGATCGCATATATCTGAACATAATAATAAAAATTTATAGACAGAGGTGTTGATACACATTTGTAAATCCAGCACTCAGGAGGCTTAAATAAAAGGATTGGAATTCCAGTCCTGCCTAAGATACACAAATTAATAAATGACCCAGAGACTGATATTGAGGTTCAAACTTCAAGCTGAATATCAGAAAAGCAAAACAGCAGCTGGCCACTAGCAGCAGCAGCAGCTTCTTGTTCTTCTTGTTCTTCTTGTTCTTGTTCTTGTTCTTCTTGTTCTTGTTCTTCTTGTTCTTGTTCTTGTTCTTCTTGTTCTTGTTCTTCTTGTTCTTGTTCTTCTTCTTCTTCTTCTTGTTCTTCTTCTTCTTGTTGTTCTTGTTCTTCTTCTTCTTCTTCTTGTTCTTCTTCTTCTTGTTGTTCTTGTTCTTGTTCTTGTTCTTGTTCTTCTTCTTCTTGTTGTTCTTGTTCTTGTTCTTGTTCTTGTTCTTGTTCTTGTTCTTGTTCTTGTTCTTGTTCTTGTTCTTGTTCTTGTTCTTGTTCTTCTTCTTCTTCTTCTTCTTCTTCTTCTTCTTCTTCTTCTTCTTCTTCTTCTTCTTCTTCTGAGATTCACAGTGTTCATTTGATTTATGCATAAATCCTTCCAGAATACAGAGTTGATTGATATGCCTATGGGGGAGTATTCTGCAATTGTTTTGTTTTGTTTTTAATATTTATTTATTTAAATTAGAAACAACCTTGCTTCCCATGTCAATCTCAGATCCCTCTCCCTCCCCTCCTCCCCCAGCCGCCCCCAATCCCGCACCCAATCCCTACTCCACTCTCCAGAGAGGGTGAGACCCTTCATGGGGAATCTCCAAAGTCTGTCATATCATCCAGGGCAGGGCCTAGGCCCTCCCCTATGCGCCCAGGATGGGAGAGCATCCCTCCCTGTAGAATGGGCTCCCAAAGTACATTCGGATGCCCAGGATAAATACTGTTGCAGAGAGGGAGGAGTGATGAGCGAAGGAGTCAAGACTAGGCTGGTTTAACCCACAGAAGCAGCTGACCAGAACTAAGGGGAGCTCATGGGCCCCAGACTGATGACTGAGAGACCAGCATGGGACTGATCCAGACCCCCTGAATGTGGGTGTCAGTGAGGAGACCTAGGTAACCTTTGGGGTCTGAGGTACTAGATCAATATTTATCCCAGGCCACTAGCTTCTTACCTCTACCTCAGGCTGAATATGCTGGTCCTGTCTCCATGAGTTCTCACCAAGCCTCAGACTGCTGCCTCTCCTCAGCATGTGTCTTCTGAGTGTGAACAGTAGACTCCTCTGGTTGGTACTCTTTGTATTTGTTTCTGCCACCTTGTTCCATGGAGGTAGTTCCTTAAGTGGTGAGGATATACCACCTGAAATACCTGAAATGGACTACTTTTTGCTTGCTGGAAAAAAAAAACAAAAAACAAAACAACAAATGGATGTGGTATGGTTTGTTGCCCAGGGAAGTTCTGGGAATTGCTGCTTCTGTAAAGGTATTGGTATGCCCAGGCATCACGGGGCTTCCCTAAGCCCCAGCCATAGGTTCCCAGACTTGTGGTAGAACAGCCTCTCCCAAAGAGGCTAATTTTCAAAGTGCATGAAGGAAATCCTGGACTATTTCTCTTGTGTCAGGTTCCTGTAAGGACAACAGGTCGTTGCAGAGCTTTGAAATGAGCTAGGACTCGGATCACTGGGATATGGGTGCAGTTTGGGGAGGGGTTCATACACACAGACACATGTACACACACACACACACACACACACACACCACTGACTGAGCCTGGACTTTGTTCATGGTAGTTACATCCTTTACCTGCTAGCTGCATCCTTTCTCTTTTATCGTTTATTTTGAGACAAAGGCTTGCTATGTTGCACAAGCTTGTCTTGAACTAGGTCCTGACCTAGTCTCTGTTGTAGCCAGGATTTCACGTACTACTGGACCTGGCTGATAATATATAGTTGTCTAATGTCTAAGAAGTTACTCAGGGGTCTCTCAAGATGTGCTGTGCTAGTGCAGAGCTAATATAAAGAACTTACTTTGCGAGGCTGCCGAGCCTGTTGGTGGCATTGACCTGGATAAAGTCTGGGGTAGGAAACATGTGAAGGTCAGTGAGGCAGGATAAGTGAGAACAAGAGAGGAGCAGAGGCCAGGCAATGCAGAACCAGAAGAGACTGAGTAATGCTCTTGCATAGCCATTCAATAATGGAGTAACTTACCACCTTAAACTTTGCAGAATGTCATGTTATGTATGTTAAATGCATTTTTCCACCCTTGATTTAGGTGTTTGCAGTATCCTTTATTGGGGAAGGCTTACCAGTTGGAACTGATTATAGAATGCTTGGCCTGGTCAATAACTACTTTGAAATTTATACAGGACAAATTTTCTCCAAATAATTTGGCTATGAATGCTGGAGAGTTTCTATTATATTGAGAACAAGAGAATAATGAAGCCATCTGGGAGTTTCAATCAGTTTATTTGCTATCTCTAGGTAAGTTTTATTCCTCCTGCAACTTTTCCAAAAGAACAATGCTTCTATATCTATTTTGGGCCAATGTTAGCCTGGACTACATCCATTTGTGTGAACGTATTTCTTTTAACCATAAGTGTGTGTTAGCCCAGGATTGTTAGTTATGGCAAACATAACTTTTTTTGACAATGTCTTATATGCCCTCAGTATATCTCACTGTGCTGGGATGACCTTGAACTCCTGAACCTCTTCTCTCTCCCTTCTCTCAGATCTTAACACAGCACTTTTTTTGTAAGTAATAATTTGTCTTTTATGAGACAAGGTTTCTCTGTATTCTTTTGGGTAATAATTTGTCTTTTGATGCCTTATTAGTTTGTTTTTTTATCATATACTTGGAGATTTAGGAGTTTCAAAGGTGTTCAGGGTTAAGTCCTTTCTTAGATATGTGTACTGTGTTCCCCTCCCTTCCCTTCCCTTCCCCTCCTTTCCCTCCTTCCCCTCTCCTCTTGTTGCTGTGATAAAACACCATGGACATGACTGTTTTTGCCAAGAGTTTTTCTTGGCTGGGTTTAGCATGCTACACGTGGAAGCTTTAACTGCAACATGAAGGAAAGCTTGCCTTACTTCTTCTAACAAGGCCATACATTCTAAGCCTCCCAAATATTGTCACCAACTGAGGACCAATTGTTCAAATATGGGAGCCTATGGGGCCATTTTAATTCTAACCACAGAACCTAAGAAATCTTAGCTTGTGGCAGAATCTCACTGTTGGAAGGGCTTCCTATGCATTGCAGGGTGTTAAGACAGCGCTCCTGCTCTGCACTCAGCAGGCACCAAGGTTCTTAACCGCATGCCCCTCATCTGGGTGGCATAGAGGAACCCCCAACCATGAAAATTTCTCTTTGGGAATCACAGGGTACCTCAAGATCAAAGAGATTTTCTCTGGGGTTTAATTCTAGGATCTTAGTTAAATTTTTTATTCTGAGAAGGTGAGGGTTCATTTCCCCTGGAATGTGTTGTTTTATTTGCTGTCCTAGATGTGGTTTGCTGGCTGAGGTTTTTTCTTCCTTCCTGAGGCAGGGTTTCTCTGTATAATGGTTCTGGATGTCCTCTAACTCACTTTGTAGATCAGGCTGGCCCTGAACTCATGTAGGTCTGCCTGCCTCTGCCTCCCAAGTGCTGCTGGCAGCTGAACTTTTAAGTGATATCATTCTATAAATTTTCTTTGCTGCATTTTCAACTCATTTTGTTACAGGAATGTGATAGTTTTGTGAAATCAGTTTTTATATGAATCAGAGATTTTCTGTTCCATACATTTTGGTATAATTCAGCAGTAATGTTCTAGTAAACTGGTACTTTGGGTGAAGGACAGACAGAGGATATTGAATATGGTGTTGCCTGCCTATCTCTCTCTCTCTCTAATGTTGAGGAATGGTCTCCTTTGTATATAGCAATCCTTGAACTTGGGGATCCACCTGCCTCACACTCTGGAGCTAGGGAGTAACAAGCATTTGTTCCCTTACCCATCATTTAAGATTGCAGGTTTGCATTCTTGTCTATTCAGATTTCCTGTCTTATCTTGATCCAGTTTTAATAATCTGTATTTTCCTAGAGAGACAGAGAGAATGTGCGTGGTTGCAGGTGTCATGCATATGCGTGCATCTATGTATGTATGCATCTCTATGGTGTGTGTGTATGTGTATGTATGCCTCTTTATGGTGTGCATGTGTGTGTGTGTATCTGTGGTGTGTGTTTGTCTATAGTGTGTATGCCTCTTTATGGTTTGTGTATTTACATGTCTATGGTGTATTTGTGCCCCTCTTTATGATACATGTGCATGGTCTGAGAACTACCTTGTGTCTCTTCCATCATTTCTTTGAGACAAGATCTCTCACTGAGTGGCTCTCCACCCAAGCTAACTGGCCTCTGCTTCCAGGGATCTCCCTGCCTTCTCCATTCCCATCCTCTTCAATTGTGGAATGATAAATATGTTCTGCTGGCTTTTTAATTGGGCTCCAACCTTGGTTTTCATGCTTATTAGGTAGGCACTTTGCTGGCAAGGGCAGCTTCTTCATATTCTCAGTATTTTTCTAAAAATTAAATAAAGATGGAGTCTCTCTGTCTAGACCAGGCTGTTCAACCTGTGATCCACCATCTTTAATCTTCAAGTGCCAGCAATCAGTGGTTTTGGCCATCACACCTGAATTTTTTTGAGGTGTTTAAAATATTTCTATGTATATATGGGTGCCTTACCTACATGTGTCTGTGCTCCATGTGTGTTTAATGTCTTTGGAGGCTCCAGAAGAGGATGTTGGGTCTCCTGGGACTGGAGTTACAGTTGTGAGCCACCATGAGGGTGCTGGCAATAGAACCTGGGTCCTCTGGAAGAGCAGCCAGTGCTCTTAACTGCTGAGTCATCTCTCCATCCCCTGAGAAATTCTTGACATTAACTTGTGCACCACTTCCTTCACTGTATTTATCAAAGGTTTGTTTGCATCTAAGTCACTTCAGAAGAACTAGTGTCTTAGTTTGGTTTTCGGTTGCTGCGAAGAGACACTATAGCCGTGAAAACTCTTATAAATGCAGTGGTTTACACTTCCAGGATTAGTCCATTATCATCATGACATGGCAGCATGCAGGCAGATGGGTTGCTAGAGAAGCATCTGTGAGTCTTACATCTTGGCTCAACGGAAGTAGTCTTACTGGGCACAGCTTGAGCATATATACGACCTCAAAACCCACCCCCTCTAATTTTAAGTTTAATTGAACTCAAATTAGAAAATTATTATCATGTCTCATTAATTTTAGAACACTCCTAAATATTCAAGTATCATGCTTTTAATTTACCTGTTGCCTCAAAACATAGTTGAAAATATAAGCAAAAGAAGGTCATATGCTTTATTTAAAAGATTAGACAAAGATTTGATTAAAACAGATATTTGCTGCTGTAGATACAGCAGCCAAATAAAACTACCTACTAAATTCACAGTGATTAAAATAGAAGTGAAGTAGAAATAAAGTTGACCAGAAAAATTTCATTCAAAAGTTAAACTGAAAATGTCTGTCTATATATGTGTAGTAGAAGGAAACTTCTCTCTCTCTCTCTCTCTCTCTCTCTCTCTCTCTCTCTCTCTCTCTCTCTCTCTCTCTCTCTCACACACACACACACACAAACAAACAAACACATATGGTTTACTTACTGTACTAGGTTTTATTTTCCTCCTATTGAATGGAATTTATTCCAATGAGACATCTGTTGGTTACCACTAAGATTCAAAGGGTAAAAATTCAAGAGGCCTTCCCTTTTTTTTGAAGAGACAGGGAAGAAGAATGGCTCTAGTGAAGAAGGGAGGTGGGATGGGTTAACTGGTAGGAGTACAGGTGGGGGAAAGTGTAGACAAGATGTATAGAAGAGTGAGTGAATGTGTGTGTGTGTGTGTGTGTGTGCTCTAGAAGTTAGAAATAAGTAAACACTAAGCTAACCAACTATACCTTTTACATGTCTATATGTATGGAACATTCTGACATGTATTATGTGGCAAGTTAAACATTAAAAAGACAATTAGGAGTATTTTATATAAAAACATTTCAGCTACAATTTACATTTCATTGAAATTATCCCTAGAGAAAATAAAATTTTAAGCATTCTTAATCATTACAACAACAAATAGATTTTATCTGTATGTTAATTATAATTAGTTCAGTGAAATATGTGAGCTGGTCAATAGAATCTGTCATGGAAGACCAAAAGTAGACCTTAGAACAAGAGCAGAAATAGCATAAAGGCAGAAAAATGAAGTGGTTACTGGTAAGTCAATATATACATTTCAATATTTACATTTTAATTACATGCTGTGTGCTTCTACTTAGTAAATTCCACCACTAATGGAAGTTACATTTAACATCTTCTTTAACATTAATATGCCACCACCAG